GGGGGGGGGGGAGGGGCTGCGGCGGGAGCGTCAGGTGGAAGGGTAAGGAATACAGAGGAAGGGAAATGGATTTGGTTGGTGCCGGGGGGATCGGGTGCAGAGCAAACACAGACCCTTAGAAGCAGGGTGAAAGGAGGTGTGTGTTTGGGCGGGGTCGCATATCCAGGTGATTGGCTCAGGTGGTTATGCAGGTTCAAAGGATGGGTTTGAGCCTCGCAAGGCAGTGGGTGGCGTCTAGGCCGGGTGTCTGCAGCTGCATGCCATGCCGCAAGGCCAGCGCTCTGGAACCGAAGGCCCTGTGTCGCAAGAGCGCAGTTCTTGAGTGGCATATGCGGGCCTGTCTGCTGTGGTCGCCCCTCTGCCTGGCTCCAACCCCCATTTATCCTCCACAACGCCACATTGCATCACAGCCATCGCCTTCAAGGCCGCAAGGGAGGCTCAGAAGAAGGAGGCGGAGGCGGCCGCAGCGGCTGCCGCGGCCAGCCAATGACGATGACAGAACGTGCAGGCCGGCGCCACACGGCGCGACTCGTTACGGCGTCGGGCAAAGGAGGCAGCCAGGCGTGCGGCTTGGCTGGCAGGAGTTCGATAGAGCGCGCAGCGGCGTGGCCGTCAGGGCCGCCCTGTGTGGCCCCTGGCCCTGCGGCTCTGCTGCTGCAATGATACTGCGGCGGGTGCCTCCCTAGTTCCGCCGCGTGGTGCACACTTGTGCGGGCGGTGAAGGGCATGTGGCCGTAGGCGCGGCCGCCTGGCCTTTGAATGCGCTCTGCCAGGTGGGCTGATGTGACGCTGAGGTGGCGCACGAGCGGCTGCCTGCTCGCCTTCTGCCAGCTGGTCCCAGCTTCAGGCGCGGGCTTCCATTTTTGGTGCACTTGTTTGCTTGTCGCGCCCGCCTGTTCAATTTTTGCTTGACGATCGCCCGGCCCAGCGTGCCTTGCGGTGTAAATATCAGGTTGTGAGATTTTGCGCACCAGTGCAGATGTAAGCACCCCTACTGGTTGCAGGGGAGTCAGCAGGGGCATGGGCACAGCAGGCACGGTTGTGTATGAGGTGGGTGTGAGGTTGAGCATGGAGCCCTATACAAGCGCTGCGATGGAGGTTGTAGGGGCTGCGCACGGTGTGGCGGCTGCAGGAATGATCGAGCTCTAGCCTGATGGTGTCAACATCCATGTGCACCATGCCTGGGGCGGCTACGTACCCACACTCAGTGGCAGTGCCCGCAACGTGTGCCGCGTTCCCTCAAGCCATCTGCGCAGCGCTCACTGCTTACTTGGCCCGACCTACCCACCTCCCTTCACCCCGTTCTCCCCGCCTTGTGCTCATTGCAGGTCTGCAGAACGAATTGACCAAGCCAGCGCCGCGCCAAGCAACAATACTGTATGTTTGGCCATGCTCGAGCATGTCTGCACTTGCCTGGATCAGCGCAAGCAGTGGCCAAGGGCGGGCGCAGCACGTCCAAAAACGTTGCGGCGACGTGCCAAAAATTGCCAGGTCATCAGGGGCTGTCCTTTCTCTTTTATTGCATGCATGCGTACTGACAGGGTGGACGCATGGACGCATGGATGTGCTGGGGCAGTAGTCCCATGCTAAGGCATTGTGTGAGTGGCCTGATATCCCATGCAGGCAGGCACGTAAGCGCTGGATATTGTCCAGCTCTGTTGCAGCTGCGTACCACATGGATGCGCGTGATCATCACAGACAGATGCAATGTTACATGCCCGGTCTCTCGTATGTCGCAAGTTTGAGACAGACCTATTTGCTCGTGGGCCACCCCTGGCTGGGCCCCCGCGGTTGAGTGCAGGCCACGCACAGCCAGGGCGGGCAGGGCGATGTTGTTGCGATTCCATGCGATGTGTGTGTTGGTGCAGAGGAGATATGACAGAGCGAGATCATGAAACGCGCCGTGCGGCACGAGCCACGCCGGCCGTGACTCTCACCTTGCCGTGATATGCCGCGCGCCTCATCAAGCGCTGCGGCTGTGACGCGCGTTGAGGCCAAATCACCAGAAAAGGTGTGGCGTCGCCCCCAGAAGCCGAAACGGCACACTAGCCAAGCATTCACCTGGCCCGCGCTACAGCAGCGGGTGTTGAGATGGATGGGCCTGACTGAGTCTCTGGAGCGCAAGGACAGGTCCAAGGTGTGTCCCAAGCAACACAGTGTTGCCTGTGCATGTCTACGCTGTTCGAGGTCTCTCACCCCGCGAGCTACTGAACCACCAGTGCGGCGGCAGTCATTGCTGCCGGGTCTTGTTCCCACGCAGGGCAGCCGCCCTGTCCGGGTTTGAACGCGCGGGCAAACGGCCTCAACCCTGATATGTGGGCTGCAGGTGGCAGCAGCGCCGGGAAAGGAAAATGGTCTATGCCAACCGCGCATGCGTGCAGACGGCACGCTGGCGGGGCCACGTTGCACCACCGACATAGCGCGTCCCCAATCCAAAACATGGTTGCCTGAAGAGGCCGAAAAAGAGCGAGCTGGGCTGTAATTGCACTGCACGCAAGCAAAGTGCTCTGCCAGCGCGTGCCGTCGACCTCTTGCAGCCCTTTGCTTGCCCCAAACAGGGTGTGCACCTGTCACGGGCATTAGAGACTGTCCGTCTGATTTTCAGCCGCGGAAAAGCCATCGCGTGCACCCAAACAGCGACCCGCCTCGCTCTCCGCAGGCTGGCCGGCGCGCCTCTGGCGGTCGTGATGCGCTGGTATCTTGTGACGACTCAAGGATTCTACCGGCGTCAAGTATGGGATGCCGCCGACCTGGAGCGTCACCCCATCCACTCAGGCCAGCACGGTCTGGTGGGCGGCAGCGGCCCTGCGGCTCGCGGCCATGCGGCTCCTGCTGGCGGTCGCACGAGACGCCAGGTCCGGGGTGCCGCCGCCGCCCTCGTGCTCGTCGTCCTCGGGCCCCACCGGGGGCTTGGTCTTCTGGTCTGAGAGGGTGGCAGCAAGTGTTGAACGATTCAAGCCAAGTGTCAGCCTTGACGCTCACCAGTGCTTTCACAGCACAAACACATGGTGGCTATCCGTTGCACACTGAATCGAGCATTGGCGACATGGCCTAGCTTGCTCTGCCGCCGTGCGCAACACCCTCGTTGCAGTCTGTACACTAGATTGACCACCACCTGCTGATTAGCATGACTGCCGGTCAACACAAGACCGCTCAGCTTTGGCCGCGCGCCCTGCATATTCATAGCATATATATGGTGATTAACTCCTGAGCAAGGGCTCACCAAAGTAGTAGGTCACGTAGGGGCCGTCGTAGTTGTCCTCAGCCATTGTCTGGTGGGGGCAGGGCGCAGGGGCGGTGGATGTGGGTGGGCCATGGCCAGGCTATCAGATGACAGCACCAGATGGAGCGCAGCAAGCATGGCGCATTCCAGCACATTCCACTTCGGCTTGCAATCCAGCAGACACACACTACAGGCGACCCAGAGTTGGCTCCGGTGCGACCGATGTCATCCAGGTCAGCCGCGCGACCCTCCTACCTCGAAGCGTGCGCTGAACACGGGGGGCGTGGAGTAGATGAGGACTGCCAGCTCCTGCTCCGGGCTGGAGGGCTTGTGGCTGCTGTACCTGGGGGGTTGGCAGGGGGGCCGCCAGGGGGAGAGGGGCGAGGGAGATGGAGGCGTGACCCCGGGGACAAGAACCTTGCATGATGGGCACGCTCGTAGGCAGTGTCAAGGGCAACCCAGGGGCGGGGGTGCACGTCTGGCCTCGTCGTGCCTTCCCCAGCTGACTGACCGAGCGGGTGCGCAGCTCGCCACGACCGAGTCCTCGTGGCCCCGGATGGCTCGTGCCTGAAGTGCTGTGTAGCCATGGTCCTTGCATGGCAGATGACGGTGAACCACACTCACACACACGCACGAGCCACCAGCTGCTGATCTGCCCACGCACGCATGCGCGCGCACACACACACATACACACGCACACACACACTGCAAGCTCACCTGGCTGTGTCAACGAAGCGGTTGGCAAAGTGCTGCCCCACACGCACGGCATCCAGGGTGTGGGGGACCTTTGGGGCGTAGGGTCGGAGCGGGTAAGATTATCGTGGTGAGGAATGTTTTCCAATTTGGTGACAAGTATGAGGGGTGCACGCCAAAAAGAGAGCGCTTGCTGGCCATTGCGTGGGCTGCTGGCCTCAAGCAGACATGCAGTGGTGACGAGAGCCCATATCAGCGGCACAGACGGAATCAAGGGTGGTCACCGGGCCCCAACATGCGCCCCGCCTACCCCCGCCTTCGTTTTCGGCCGCATACCTCGATCATCCCAAACTCGCTTGTTGGCTTCTCCGGGTGCCATTGGGTGCCTGACGGATGAAGAGAAGACACAGAAACAGTGCAGACAAGTGAGAGTGTGAGCAACAGGCCGCGGCAACCGGGTGGGTGGGCGCGGGATGGGCATGAGCCGGGCGCATGATGCGTGCACTGCAGCCCTCTGCAGGTTACCGCCAGCCTGGGGCGACTGCGTCCACCCCACCACACACCTCATAATAAATCCTCCCTTGATCCGTGGCTCCTACTTTCGACACGCTGTGATCCCCCCAACGCACCAAAGCCACCACCAGCACCCACCCCCTCACCCGTGAAGGGGTACTTCTTGGCCTCCACCGTTGAGATGTACTCGAGCCCCTTGCGATCCTTGGAGGTGGTGAGCACGTTGAACCACTCCCCCAGGAGCGGCCAGCGCTGGTAGTGGTGCGGGGGGATGCCGTACTCGTGGTTCTGCATCGCGATGTTCAGCTTGTCGTCCTGCAGCTTGGCCACCAGGTCAGACTGCCGGGGCAAACACCGGCATCAAGTTTGAAAAGGCAAGGGGGGGGGAGGTGTGGTCACATGTCCTGCTCGGCCCTGCTGCGCTCAGGGTGGTGGTACGCCGCGCGTTCTGGCACATCCGGCCGTGAGGGGCTGGTGCTACGGCGGCCACACATGGCAGGGTGGTGAGTCAGCCCACCCGCATCAACATGCGACACTGCGCAGCTGCTAGTATCGCCTCCCAAACTTGACCCCCCCGCAAACACTCACACCATCGCCTCCCCCTCTTTCTCAAGATGGGACATGCACGGGGCGAGCAGGGCACCACAACAGCAGAGCAAAACTTTGCGCCCCGCCCCACCGGCAGGTCCTTGAGGGTGCGGCTGGTGTTGGCCGCCGCTGTGAAGATGAGTGTGCTGGGCTGCGTCACCGCGTCCGTCTCCACCAGCAGGTCGTTGCGGCTCACGTTGGCCGCCAGGATGTGCAGCAGCTGGTGGCCCAGGCAGGTGCCGTGGATCTGAATGGGGAGCAACAGGTTTGAGATGAAGTGGCCTGGTGTTGCGCTGATAAATGCCGATGTGCGTATCAGTGGGTGAGATGGGCAAGAGCTGGTTTGGAATCCGAGTCTGCTGGTTCGGTGTGGGACTGCTCCATGGAAAAAGCAGGGTAAGAGGCACCGGCCTCTGCTGAAACACGAAACCCCCGCCTGCACCGCTCAGAGCAGGCCCGCGCATTCAGTTGGCAGCCCGCAGCCTGCTGCCCATACAAGCAGGGCCTCTCTTGTCCTGTACTTGCATGCCCCGCCGGCTGCCAGCTTCGCCTCCAGACACCCACCGGGAAGGGGTTGCCCGCCTCATTGGCCTGCACAGCCCAGTTGAACAGCTTGCGGGCCGCAATCACGTAGGGTGAGTCCAGCCACAGCCATGTCAGGCCGCCCTGGGGGTCGGGGGAGGACGGGTGTGCGAGGTCAAAAATCAGGTGTGTTGGTGGATGATCGGCAAGGAGCATGAGGATGTGCGATGATGGATGCCACCGTTGTGTCAGTTGAGGCAGGGATGCCATGGTTTCCATGTAATCGGGCGTGTTGTAACGCAGGCAACGCCCAGACAGTCGGTCACCCCTGTATGGCAAAATTAGAAATTGTTGCCGCCATGGGCGGACCTTGCACTTCGTGTTGAGCAATGCTGGGAATTCGCGGCATCTGACACCAACTGCACAGCAAATCGAGTCGTGCAGTCAAATTGTCTGAAACCCCGCTGCCCAAGCCAGGCCAAAAACCACCCATACTCTACTACGACGCATGGCTTCACCACAGATCGATTTTGCTTGCACACCACTTGCACACCAGATGCAAAAGCCAGCCCCCCCCTCCCCTCATGAAAGTTGGCTGCAAAATCCGTTGACCTGCTCAAGCCACAACCTCGACAGCGCCACACCTCACTTGTGAAGAGGCTTTCAGGCAGCCAAACCCTCATGACTAAACCAATATCACCGTGGGTTGCCTAAAGCAGCCACCGCGCTCCGTCCGCGCCGGTACTCACCGCGAATACGAGGCCGTTGACGCTCTTGAACAGGCGGTGCAGCTCCGCGTCAGACGCGTAGAACCTGGCGGGATGGTGGGGTGAGAGGGGACCTTTGGAGGCAGCGACAGGATGTGGAGGTTTCCGGGATGGTCTGCATGCTCAGCAGGAGCAGCCCCTCCACGCGGGCGCTTGCACGTCATGCAGCGCCGTACACGGGGCAGGCAAAGGCCCCGGCCCTTGGGGCCTCCCACTCATGGACGTGTTGATGAGTGGCGGGAGGGCCCCAGCGTCGCTACTTGGGGTGCCGGCGTGCTGTTGAACACCCACACTGTCCCCCTGTGAGATTTGCTGGCGGCGCTGCTTCCGACATACAGGCGTGGCGCGCCAGCAGAGATAAGAAGCCTTCCATCATTGCCGATTTGCCCTTCACTGCTTCCCACCACCCACCTGATGGGGGCGACACGGCCGCCAGCTGCCTCCACCCACTTCACATAGCTGTGGCATTGAATCACAGCATTGCATCAAACCGGAGTGTCAGGTTTGCCAATCGCAACCCCTTTGAAATCGTGAATGTCAATATCTTGGTGGGTTGGCAGACACTATTTCCGAGAGTGCCATGGCGGTCAAGAGGTCAACAGCACACTCTGCAGGCGTGCGGCACCGCCAGTCCACAGCGTGAAATAATCCACGAGTCGCCCTTAACCCCGCAACAACCCACCTGGCTCCAATGTACGATCTGCGTGCAACGAGGTAAGACAGCATGCGGCGTCAACACACGTATGACTGGCGAACTGACTCCGCATGCTTGCATGCGTTTGAGGTCTGGTGCGCGTGCGCCGTGTGCGCCAGACGCGCCCTGTTGCGAGCAGCTGCCCATGCAGCCTTGGTTGTTGCAAGTGCGTGAGCTTACTCACCGGCCGGGGCACTCGGTACAGGGCTGTGTAAGGATGCCAATGATTGGTTCGGTGTTCTTGTAGCCACTGGCTGCGGTGCTGCTGCGCATGCCCTGGCGCGCGGTGTGCACGAGCCTCGCCACACCCGCCTGCTCCTCCCGGATTGCGTGCAGGCTTGGGTCAGGGCGCGCTGCGCCGCATGCCGCGATCAGCAGTGCCAATGCCAAAAAGATGATTGGCTTCATGATCAACCACCTTCCCGTATCGAGCTGCTGGATCGGTGTGGCGGCGAGGTGTCAGGTGATCAATTGGCTCGAGCTGCCAGCGCGCTGAGTTCCGCAAGCTGGATAAGCAACTGCCCGGGCCTAACGCTGCGCATACAAATCGCCGAAGAGCAATCGAGAACGGTTCAAGGGCGTGTCCATGGCACCGCGCAGCATCTCTTTGGGAGATGCTGCTGAAGGGCGAAGCTGCACAGGGAGTGTGCATGTGCTCACCCCCCTGCTGTGATGGCGTAATCGCAACTGCTGGGGATCAGCACATGCTTTGTAGCAGTATGTACCTGCAGATAAGAATGCCAAATGGCACTAATGACATACATCCAGATACCGTACGCGGCGTGGCGCCGCTACCCCGTGTTGCATGGCCGCTAGGCCGCAGGCTGGAGCTTCAGCCGCATCACACATGACATTGGCGGCGCCGCTGCGACCCCAGTGCGCATGGGCCATGTACGTACAAATGCGCCATGCATGCACAATTACAATTCACGAGCCGCGATGCGTGCGGCTTGGACAATCATGCTATGTACGGCTGTGTGCGGTCATTGTGACTGCAACTGCATGCTGGGCAGCTGCTGGGTTGGCTGCCGCAGCAGCATGAGAGGCTCAGCGGGTTTGCACGCCTGCACCCGATGTCGACAACCGATGCAGGCCACGATCCTCTCGTCTGCCCAACCTTATAAGCTTTACGTTGTGCCTGCAGCTGGATTGGTCGCGAGAGCCTGCCGGCTTGCCACCCTCAGCGTCACGCAAGCTACAGACGAGTGCGCATGCGCGAGGCCTGCACGTGTGTGCTTATGTTTTGGTGTTTGTGTGCGTGTAGTGTTTTGGTCCCTCTGTCTTCGCATCTGCATGCGCAAAATTGGAAGAGAATGTGTGTATGTGTGTGTTTGTGAGTGTATGTGCGTGTGTGTGCGTGCGTGGGCTCGCACGTGCGCCCACACATGTCATGTGTGGATTCTGCATGTGCGTTAGTTTCAAACACGTATGCATGTATGTTTACAAATGATTGTGTGCAAGTGTGCGCGCATGTATGCAGGCTTGTGAGTGTGCGTGCGCACTGCTGGTCCGTAAGGTCAGTTGGTCAGTGCGCTCAAATCAGATGGTGGTGCACGCTTCGCGGCTAGCAACAGCAGCTGCTCACAACACGGCCAGTGGGCGGCGACGCCCTCCTTCACGCCAGCTCATGGCGGTTTCGCTTGCTGCCAGACTCTACGCGAGCTTGGATGCTGTCTCGTCGGTTTCCTGTTCAGAAACACACTGGCATTAACAATGCCTGCTGGACCAGTCACGACTTGTACCCCAGTGCAGGACTGTACTCATCACTTGCCATCGCCCAGGTGTGTAAGCCAGCGTACTCACGCCTCAATTGTATTCGATTCAGCGATTTATTGTTTGTGACCAAATTGCCGCGATGTATCACTCGCGTGCAAGTGGATGGATCTGCACAAGCGCGCGGAGAGGAATGTTTTCCCCGTGACTTTGTGGCCGATGGAAAAGTATCAAATGGTAGCATTTTCTCAACTGCGCCTCTCAGCGCAGTGGCGCACATCGTAGCGGAGCGAGCGGCTGCGCAGCACGCACAGCAGCAGCTGCTGCAGCAGAGCACAACCAAGCCCCAGACGAGCCTGCGCGCCCGGCAGTCCCGGTGATGCGCGTACCCGTGAAGACCCTGCTGGGCCAGCAGCTGCTGGTGGACGTGCCAGACTATGGGACTGTTGCAGACCTGGCAAGGCGTGTTTCGGGGGCGCAAGGCGCCTGCCGTCTATTCTTTGAGGTGCGGGGACGAAGCCTTCTTGTATGCGCCTAGGCAATGGGCCTCACTGCAGCATCCCAAAGGTTGACCCAATATGATAGATCGGGTTGCTTGCACGAAACCCTGCTCGCCAGCGACGGCACCCCGGTGCCACCACTGCTGCTGCCGCGAATGGGTAGGGGCGGCGTGCCCAGCCAAGGCAGCTGGGCTCCCTTGAAGGCCACAGCAATGCAGAGTGTAGCTGGAACCCTGTTATCTTGTTGATCCCCAATTGAGCCCCCACTTGCGTGATCTTTGTGTAGGGGGCGGAGCTGGCGCCGCCGTCAGCGCCATTGCGGGAGGCGCTGGACGGTTTGGAGGCTGCTGGGCCGAACGCCCATGTGGTGGGTGTCGCGGGTGGGGCCGTGTGTGGAACGGGCCGTGGGCCCTGCTGTGGTGGCAATTCGAATGCAGGATGAACGTGCGGACAGTAGGCACATACCTTGGTGTTCCTCTTTGTGCGTGTGGACCCGCGCATTGCAACGTGGCCTTCCCAGCCCCTTGCATGAAGAGCAGCTCGCCTTTTGCCATTGCAACCTTCACAGGTTGCGCTGCCTGTGGCAGGCAGGGGGCGCCGTCAGGCATCCAAGGCTGCGGAGCAGGCGCAGCATCTGCAGCGCAGTGCGGCCTCAGATGAAAGACCTCATGGTCAGCCTCCCACTGGTCAAAGCCAGCACAAGGAGCGGCCACGTGAAGCAGCGATACAGAAGGGTGCTGAGATAATATCCATCGACTGCAGCAGCGATGAGGAGATGGGGGTGGGCGGCGGCGGCGGCGGTAAGCTGGGCAGCTGCCGTCAGCCTGCGCACACTGGTGCTGCACCTGCTCCGGTGGCCGCCACGCCTGCTGCAGAACCGGCGTCCCCGCTGCCTGGCGGCTGCGGTGGTGGTGCTGCTGCAGGGCGCGGCCGCGGCCAGCCTCGTAGCCCGCTTGACACGCTGCTGCCTGGCTTCGCCTCGCGTCCAAACTTCTCACCCCTGCTGCGCCGCAACGCCGGTGGCCGCGGCGGCCGCGGCGGCGGCCTGGGGGCGCTGATGGCTGGCAGCGGAGCGGAGGGCAGAGGGGATGCAGACGGCGACGGCTCAGCAGCAGCAGAGCGTGGCGGGTCTGGCGTGGCGGCTTTTGCGGGTGGCTGCGGGTTTTTTGAGGAGGGTCCCGCGCCGGCCGAGGCCGGCGGCGCGGGGGCAGAGGGGGAGGCGGAGCGCGCGGCGGTCGGCCTTGGCCTGGCGCCCGCGCGGCGCGCTGGCCCGGGCCCTGTTCAGGGGCGGACGTTACTGCAGCAACACCTGATGGTGGCAGCCGAGGAGGCGGAGGCAGAGAGGGCTGCAGCCATGGCCCGAGAGCAGCAGCAGCCGCCCGCTGCCATTCCGCCGCCTCCTGTACCCCGGGGCCAGGCCCAGCGGCGAACGGGCAACCCAGCGTCGACGTCGGCCGCGGCCTCGGCGCTGTGGGCGGATCTGGCTGCTGAATTCAGGGGGGCCAGTAGTGGTGACGAAGGGAAACCGCCGTTGCCGGCAGATTGCGCAGTACAGCGGCAGTTTGAAGGGCAGCGCGAACTTGGCGCAATCGCGGGGGTCCCTCCAGCGACGACGCCAAGTGACGCTGGAGCAGCTGGGACAGCAACAGCGGCGGCACGACCAGGAGCAGCCACAGCAGGAGCACGCAGCGACACAGGGACGGGCGTGCAAGCAGGGCCGGGTGAACAAGCAGGAGCGCAGGTGGCGGAGGAGGAGGAGGATGGTGAGGCGCCCCTGGCGCTGCGCCTGCACCGTGGTGATCTGACGCCTGCGGAGCGCAGGGCCCTGGACGCGCTGCCGCTGCCACCCTGCCTGGAGCGCCTGCTGCGTGTGTTTGGCGCGGCGGCGTCGTGGCAGGGGTTTGTGACCCGGCAGCACATGGCGATGACGTGGGGCAACACCAGGGCGCACGTCGCAGGGCTGCTGCCAGAGGTGGGCTTTGCCACTGGGTTTTGAGTGGATGCCCACGTGCTTGTGGCATGCGGGGAGGCTTCCCGCGTCGGGAGAGGGTGTGGTTTCATGCGATGGTGTGGGTCAGCCCAGATGACATGGGAGCCCCAGGGGTCCCAATTTCCCCAACTCCACAACCACGTCACAGCCCGACTCTCAGTCACGCCTGGCTCGTGCAACGATCCCTGCTAGTTGCCTGCTGCTCACCCCCCGGTCCTCGCTCTCCGCCGCCCCCACCCCGGCCATTTCGCATCACCCCCTGTACGCCGCAACATTCCAGGTGGATCCCAGCCCCCTCGATGTGCTTCTGATGGCGGAGCTGGCCCCCCACTGCGCCGCCATCCTCGAGGCGGACCCGCGCCTATGGCGCGCCCTCGACGCGGCGCACCCACCCACAGACCTCGACTCTGCCAGGGGGGCTCCTCACGGCGGCGGCGACGGCAGCAATGCCGCACAAGCAGCTGCAGGCGTGGGTGCGGGGGCTGAGGTGGCAGGCGGCGTGCTGGAGGGGCTCGATGACCTGGCGCTGCTCTTCGAAATCACAGACCCGGGGGGACCACGGGCCGGCGCCACAAGCACGGCGCCGGCCGCGGACGGCAGCAGCAGAGGCAGGGGCAGCGGGCGGGGCCGCGGCCGCGGCACCGCAGCTGGCAGACGCAGAGCCCGCGATGGCGACGGCGGCGAGGGGTCGGCGGAGGTTGGGCGGCAGGTGGCCTCGGAGGAGGCAGGGGAGGCGGTCGCTGTTGGTGCCAGCCCGGATACAGTGGCGGGAGCGGGGGCGCACGACGCCGCCTGCAGTGGTGTCGGCTCAGCTGCAGAGCCCGCTGCTGTTGTGAAGCAGGAGGGTGGGGCCGACCACGATCCACTGCCCCCGCAGCCAGTGCCAGCGCCCGGGCCGCCGCCTCGCCGCACACCGCTGGCGGGTAAGCGGGTACTCGCGCGCCGCACGGCCGCGTTCCGCCGTGCGCTGGCGCACGCATTGTTGTTGGTGCACGCGAGGTTCACTGCACGGCTGCTGGCTGGCGGCGATGGTGCGGCGCGTGGGCGGCGGGTTCAAGGTGGTGCAGAGGGGCATGCACCAGCATCAGCAGCAGCAACAGCAGCAGCATTGGCAGCAGCGGTGGCAGGAGGAGCAGCAGATGATGGAGGGGCAGCAGCAGTGGCGAGAGCAGCAGCAGTGGCAGGAACTGGCGGCGGAAGCGGAGGCGATCAAGACGCTGTCGTGGCAAGACAGGGGGAGGCGAGCACATGCAGCCAGGCAACGCCAGCACGCACCCGGCGCGGCAGGGCGGACGGCAAGGGCAGGGGGCGCGTCAAGCCGCCAGCCGACGCGCGCGGCGGAAGAGCACAGTCTGTGCCCTGCATCGAAGCGCCGGCCAAGGCCCCAGCAGCCGCGGCAGAGGCGGGCAAGCCCGTTCCGTGTGTGCGGCGGCAGCCCGGCAGGGCCGCGGCGGCCAAGGGGCGCGAACAAGCGCGACGGCAGCAGCAGCTGCTGGGTGATGCGGATGACTCATCCCAGTCTGACAAGGAGTGCGACGATGAGGGTCGTAAGGATGAGGATGGGGCTGGTGCGGGCAGCCAGGAGGAGGCAGCGGCCGCGCATCCCAACAAGCGGCGGCGTCAGCAGCGAGAACAGCAGCAGGAGGATGCTGTGCAGGAAACAGCAACAGACAGCGCTCGGCGCGGCCCCAAGCGGCCGCGGGCTGCGGCCGGCCAGGCCTCCTCGCCCGCACCATCGCCTCGACGTCGGCGACGGACGGGGGCTGTGCAGCAGGGCGGCGGCGCTGGAGAGCAAGGCGCAGCAGCAGAAGGTGATGGTGGCGGTGTCGATGACGCCGCCGATGCTGGCGCTCCCTGGGACCCCATCGCCAAGCGCGGGCGGTGGCACCCCCTGTTCCACCCCTCCAGTGTCACCCTGGGTGACCTCCGCTCGGCGGCCGCCGCCCACCGCCGATGGCTGTCCTCCCGCCTCCGCCTCCGCGGCGCGGCCTTCGAGGCAGCAGACGCTGCTGGGGCGGGCGGCGGCGCGGCCGCGGCAGCGGGGGAGCGAGAGGGCATTGGGGACGGCAGGGCGCCGCCAGCGCCGCCGCGGGTGGTGAAGCGGGCGGCGCGGTGCTGTGACACCTCGCAGCTCGACCCCGAGGCGTTCCTGCAACACCTGAAATCACTTCCCTGGTGAGGGGAGGGGGGCTGGGAATCCACACGGCGTATGCTTCTTTTGCGGCAGAACACGGGGGCAGGATATCAGGGTTTGTGGGGCGCATGCGCTCTGCCACGCTTGTGAACAGTACGGTGGGGTTGTCTTCTCAAGCACACAGTCAAATAGGGATCACGGCTTAAGGTTGGGCCTTTTCAAGCACATGATCAAATACAAGGGGTGTCATTGAGGCGCTCGGCTTCTTGGTGCTCGTAACTAAGAGTGTTGAGCGTTGTCATGGGCACATTTCAAATGCTGATGCCAATTCTGAACACTCTGTGGCTGGTTGATGGCCTTGGTCATAACCTTGATCCCCAACCCCAACCCTGCAGGTACGACGGGCAGGTGGCGCACGAGAGGGAGATCCCGGCCAGGGCAGCACGCCACGTGATGCCGCGTGCGCAGCTGGCGCCGACGACGGCGGCTGCGCTGGCGGCGCGCGGGATCACATTGGGCGTGCCCGAGAATGGCGGCGGCGGCGGCGACGGGGAAGCAGCACCAGCGGCGCTAATGAACGGTGGGCTCGTGCAAGGGGCCGCCGGCCACGGTCGCAGCAGCGGCAGGGCTGGCGGCCTGTTTATCCACCAGGCCGCCGCCATTGACGCCCTGTTGCTGGCGCGGCGGCACGTGGTGGTGGCCACCCCCACCGCCAGCGGCAAGTCCCTGTGCTACAACGTGCCGGTGCTAGAGGCCCTGGCGGCGGACAGGGACGCCTGCGCCCTGTACCTCTTCCCCACCAAGGTGCGGGCTTGCGCTGCGCTGTTCTTGCGCTGCTCATGTCTTTGTGCGCGCGCTGCCTGGCTGGCCTAAGCGCCCTGTCGGCAACACTCGGCGGCCTTGTCACCCTGACGCATCCACACCGGACTTCACACTCTGCTTCTGGGTCTCCTGACCTTTTGGGCATGCAGTGATGTGATTGGTCCCTGCAACACGCATTACGACCTTCATCCTCAAAACCACCTCCATCCGCCCACAACCGCACCGCACCGCTAGGCCCTGGCCCAGGACCAGCTGGCGGCCCTGAGGGGCATGCTGGCTGCGGCCTTCGGGCCGGACGCCGCCGCCATCGTGGAGGTGGGTGTGGGGGTAGGAAAGGAAGGACGTGCCCAGGACCACGGTGCGGCTCGGCCCCCGTCCTGCGTGGCCCAGACGGGTGTGGCTTACAGAAACTCTGTAAAAAAAGTGATTGTGTCGCACTCACACGTCTAACCTCACTTGGGCGCCTGCCGCAGTCCTGCAGAACCCCACTTCACCTCTGATACGCCTCCCTTCCCCCGAAACAACGGTCGTCGTGACATATGCAGACTTATGACGGAGACACCCCTCAGGCCGCACGCGCCGACGTGCGTGCCCGTGCCCAGCTGTTGGTGACCAACCCCGACATGCTGCACTGCAGCATCCTGCCCTTCCACACCCAGTTCGCGCGGCTGCTGGGCAACCTCAAGTGAGAGCCCTGAGCTCCCGGGACGATGAGGGGTTTGGGCCCAGGGTTGGCGCGATCCTCATCCCCTCCCTTTTGCATACGTCAGCTGCACGCATGCAAGTCGCCAGCCTGCGGGCCAGTACCGGCTCACAGACCAGTCTCTGTGTTCCACAGTACACACAATATTTCTGGCAAGGTACAGCATCGCGGCTGCGAGCCACCCAGGCGCGTCCGCCTGTCCACCACACCTCCCCTCTTCCCCAAAACTGCGCACACAGAGAACACACCACAACACACCTGACTCCGTGTTTCACCTGCGCTCCTATGGCCCCTGACTCTCCCCCCTGAACACCTCCCCCCCACCCCCCACCAAAAGGTATGTCATCGTGGACGAGGCCCACGCCTACCACGGCGCCTTTGGCTGCCACACCGCCCTCGTGCTGCGCCGTCTCCGCCGCCTCTGCGCGCGCGCCCACGGCTCCGAGCCGCTCTTCGTCCTGACCAGCGCCACCGTGGCCAACCCCGGGCGCCACGCGTCCCTGTTGCTGGGGGAGGGCGAGGCGGCGGTGCAGGTGGTAGGGGAGGACGGGTCCCCCAGTGGCGCCAAGGCCCTGGTGCTATGGAACCCGCCACTGACGGCCGACGCCAAGGTGGGGCGGTCGTGTTGGGGGATGGTCCACACAGTTGCATAGGCTTTCCTTGAGTACTGACAGGTGGCAGTGTTTTGCAGAGGGGTAATTCTTGCATGATGGTTCTTGACAAGAGTTAGTATAGTGAGGACACTGTGTCCACCTCGCCAAAGAGTGGTCAGACGTCACAAGCCAAGCACCTGCTTAAATTCTGGGCCCTCCGGGTTGGGCATTTGTGCGCACTTGCTTTCAGCGGCGTGAAGGTGCCCACCCATTGCACAGCTACCCAGAGTTGATGCTTCAATGCCAATCCAGTGAACCTGCATGGCTCCGGGAGCATGCGACCTTACGACACTGCGACTCGACCTGCTCAATGCTCACCTTCACACCCCGCATTGCCCTTCCCTGGCGCACACAACACCAGGCAGCTCAGCAGGCAGGCCACGAGGCCGTCACCCGCACAGAGGGCCGTGCCAGCGGGGGGTCGACCTACCGGCTGCGGCGGCAGCAGATGCGGGTTGAGCTGCGGGAGGCCAACGCGGCGCGCAGGTTGAGGGCACTGTGCTCGTGGTCTGGGGACCAGCTTTTGTGGCTCGGGGCGTGAATTAGTGGCATTTTGAGGGAGGGTACTCGGTGAGAAACTGATCGGCAAAGCCCTGCCACGTCAGTCCCCCAAACCGACAACTCCATCCAGCTGAACCCCACAACCTTGTTTTGCAACTTCTTCATGCTGGAAACCGCCATGCCTGCGTACTTCCCCCCAATTTCCCACCTGCTCGCCCCTCCACCCCCCACCCACCAACCCACTCTTCCATCCCGCACCCACCTATCCACCCAAACAAAAGGCGCGGCGTGTCCACGGTCAGGGGCATGACCGAGGCGGAGTGGCAGGCCGCGGTGCGCCTGGCCAGCGGCCGCAGGCTGCTCAGTCAGTGCCTCCACGAGTTCCGCTACTACGGCGGGGACAGGCCCCCCGACCGCGCCTTCCAGGAGCGCCAGGTGGCAGCACCGGCAGAGCCCGCGCCGGAGGCGGGGACGGTGGCGACGGTGATACAGCCGCCGGGGATGGGGCGGGGTAGCGTGCCCGAGGCAACAATTGGAAGACCAACTGCGCCCGCAGCTGCGGCTGCAGATGCAGAAGCAGCGGCAGGCGGTGGTGGTGGCAAAGGCAGTGGTGGCCTCGAGGGGCACGGGGGGTCCGCACCGGCCCCCGCTGCCCTCAAAGGCGGTACTGGCAGCGGCGCGCAGGCAGCCGCCGCCTCAGGGTCGCCGCCCCCAGCTGGTGTCATGGCTGAGCTGTTCGAACTGCTGCGGGAGGTCGGGGTGGACGCGGCAGCCGTACAGCCAGGGGCCCAGGACGAGGGCGACACCTCTGATGAGGGGCTGTTGGGGAGTGGTGAGGAGGGTAGCGGCGGCAGGGCGGCAGCGCCGGTGCCGCCGCTGCTGGCTTTTGCGGCGGCCGCCGCCGCGCGCCGCCCTCCCCGGGCCGCGCTGCCCGCGCCGCCGCCGACGCCGGGGGCCGCCAC